GTGCGCATCTGGCCACCGCGTTGGGTGCAGTGATTTCCGGACGAGCGAGGACCGCTTAGGATCTGAATTTGGAAAGCAACCAAGCCCTGGATTATGATAAATTAAAAGCTGTGTTGGTGGCAAAGGAGGGTGATCGCGAAGGCAATGTACCGGTTTTACGCTGCGAAGCACAACCGTACCGAGGACCTGTCGGTGCAATACCAATACATAAAGCGACAAATTTCTCTAGGCCTGCCGGAGGCAAACAATGAAATACGGGAGAGGCTAGTCAAAGACCGGTTGATACAAAGCATGCTGGCACAGATGAGAGACAAACTGAGGCTTGCGGTGACGTGCTGGTGAATGATGCAGACCCCCTAATTTCGATTGCGCAAGCCTCTCAACAAGGTGACGTGGTTGCTCCAGTGAATCTTTCCGAAATTGAAGGTAAGATTGAACAACTATTTGAAGGAATTAGAAAACTGAAGCAGGAACTCAAGGGGGATCACAAAAAGGAAGACGTTTCAGGGCTCAAGTTCGACGATAGCAGTGTTTCACTTGCCACGGTATAGGGCATTTTGCCCGTTTTTGCCCAAACCACCACATTCGTTCGTGTTTTTCTCTTCCTAATCCGAATTCTCATGGGGTGCCAAGGCTCGAGGATTTCATTTTGAGACGGTCAAAAATGGCTGTTATTGATACGGGCGCCGGGATTTCCATTATGCCTCGGATGGAAGGGGTTCCGGTGAGACCGTGCAATCTGAGCGTACGTGCGGTTGGTTTTTATGCGATGCGTTGAAAAGTATTCTGAGTTGGTGGCGTCGCTTGCAGTTTCAACGAATTCCATTGAGGTTGGTAAGGTGTAGATCAAATTTACCATCACTGTTGCATGCCGGCCCTAGGTTGGATTCTTATCACTGTCAGTGTAGTTTGATCGTAAACAGCTGCTCTGTCGTCTAGCTCCGTCATACTGTGACGGTTTTGGTGTCCCAAGCTATTCACCTACTCTCGCCAAATTTAATGGTATAGGGAATAAAAACGAAATGTTTCGTACAGCTTACGCTTTACGAGCTGAGCTGGTGGAGTGTGTACTACACGAAAGCGTCGGTATGGTCCACGTGTGAATTACGGTTTCACCGAGGTTACCGTTCTTTTCACAAACAACGTGGTCTGAAAGAAAGAAAAACAATATCCTGTCCACGTGGATCCACGATGGATGAAAGCTGTTCTCGTCACCGAGATCATATTATCTGTGACGCGCTTCGCCGCGGATCGTCGCTGACATGTGTGCATCTTCCTTGTCAAATCAGTAGAATAGAATAATACAACGAGTACACTAACCGCATCAACTCACTAGCTTTATGCACGTTCGACCGAAGTACTTGAATATTCGGACTAATTAGAAACGAATTAGTCACATTCCAATCCGGATTGCCTTCTTTGCATAATTTCTGTCAGGGGAAAAAATAAGTTCAAAAAAGCATGATGTGGTTTGCAGAGTATCATTTAACATGAGCTCACTATACAGATTCTGCGTGCACATTTTCATAAAAACGTTTCAAAGTTCACGTTCAAAACATAAAGATTAATCCGGTGACAGCTGTTGTGATTTACTCTCGTCAACAATATGGTTAATCGGGAGTGAGCACAAACAATGTGGCGATGAGATGTTACAACACTTTGCAAAAGCTACCGACAACACCGAACAGGTGACAACATGCTGTGATCTAATCACAACAACCAATCAAAAGCCAGTATTTTGGACCAATAAAATTTACCATAACCCATTTAGGTAAGCTTTTGATGAAAGAATACGATAGCTAATTGACCAAAATATTTGAACCAATTATCGTTTATTGCTCAAATTATTCATTCCGCTTGATTTATTCCAATAAGCCAACAACCAATTCCGTGGTGCTATTCCTGTTGCTTGGTAAGGGGAAATTCTGGTGGCTGATTGCAACTATCGATCTGTGAGTGATTGAGTACTGCAATACAAGGTAACGGTGAGGATAAGCAAGATGGGTGACTTATGCGGTACTGTGACTTAGGTAGGACAGAGTTCCATTCGGTTGTATTTAATAAACGCTTCTTAAATACTTTTAAACCTGTAGCCAGTATTTTAAATGCCGAGAATCTCGATGAGTTCATAGATAAATTCTATTCTCATAGCGTTTACCACCTATTGAATGGTTTGGTTGTATTTGGTGATAGACGGCTTCCCTGTCTCCCGAATCCTAACCACGCGTGTCCTCATGAGGCCTCATCTGATTCACTGTCCCAGGTTTCAGCCTTTCGGTTGATGGTTTCCATCACCAAGTGGTAGGTCTTCGTGTCTTCTGGGATGCACCTACATTCTACCAAGGCTGTCAATAAAAAGGACGCAGTGAAATACAACTACCCCAAGTCAATTATTTCATGAGGCGGTCTTTTAGAAAATAGACCGGGCATTGTGCAGACCTAGCACATGAAACCCAATCCCTCTGGCGGATCGCATGCAATGCTCAAGCCGCAGCAACGGTGAACATAAGTTCTGCACTGAAAACTGCTCACCTTGTGAAATGATCGAAGCACACACTCGTCAGGAGTTCCCGTGCAGTCAGTCAATTGGCAAATAAATTGCACATATTGATTTTTTGCACGAACATGGAGCAGTTGAAACGAATCGGACAATTGTACGGGATTTGTGGACAGAACCGGGGGCCATAGCGTCTCACGAAGTGTGATCAGTTCTTGGATTGGAAGTTCCGGAATCTGCTCGCTTTTGGCACATCTATGTTCGGAATAGAAGTAGTTTAAAACTCAAATCGTTTCCATTTCTAATTTACAAAAGTATCATTTGTCACTCTACTTGATGCAATCAAAAGGGAAATGTGAAGACGTCTGCAAGAATCAGCTTCAAATGGTTTACTTGCAATGTCTACAGATCTGACAAGAATGATCAGGAGAGCATCACGGGTGAAAGTCAGAATTTTCGGTGACTCGAACCAAGATTGCAGAGGTGCGTTCATCTGATCAGCACCGTGAATCACTAAATCTTCGTTTCATCAACTGCAAAAGTTTAGATGGTGTTATTTTATGTTCTTGGCATTGCTCAGATGTCGGCAACTACTCACAATTCACACGAGGGTCTAAGAACTCCTGGGGTTTTCGTAAATACATGACTATTTGCCGAAATGATTTTCAGATGATCTTAACATTTTCGTCCACTATTTTAGCAGGATTGTTAGCTAACGGATGTTCCTTAACCACAGCACACTCGAATATCGCCAATTTTCTTTACAAAAAACCTGCAAATTCTAAAACGGAAGCATTATTCTGCACGCATCGTCATAAGTGATAGGACATTAAAGCAAAACAGAGAGATTCAAAATGCGGTGGCATGAAAAGAAAACCTAATTACATGGAAAGTCAAATTCAAACCAGCCAATCTTCAGCTCGGTAGTTGAATTCAATAACGTGCACGGCACCGAGCATTGATTTTTTCGTTCAAAATGATTGATCGGTGCTGGGGACACACGTGTATCAGTAAATCGATTACTGATTGAATTGACGGTGTAGCTTTACTGTGAAGTCACCAATGATAGCGCTTTCCAGTTCGCTTTATCACACAACCTACCCCCCTCGCCCTCCACACACAAAAAAAGAGATTTGGGCTACTCACGATTGTCCATAAAACTAAAACAGTGTACAATAGTTCTTGCAAGATTTTCAGTAGCATGTGAAGATTCCAGATTCGTTAGTGAAACAGATGGTGTTAAAATTATTCCAGTGACGTTCTCCAATTAAACTTCCAGTTCTACCAAAGTTAACATTTTATTATTCTCCAGCCCAAAAGAAAATCAACAAATTCACACTCTGGATGGATAAAAATGCTGATGGATTGATAAGTGAGATTGAGAACAACACTCATGCACAGCCTGAAATAAAAGTACTACTCAACGACATTTGAAAGATTGTCCAGTTTATTAAATTGGTATCACAGAAGAGTGAACAGAAAAACAACAACTGAGTAGTATTACGTAATAGATATTGCTGGAGTTAAAATGAAAATTTCCAGCTAAATTTGGAACGCATCCAAAAGTTTTTGGGATGAATAAAATGCACGTTGTTTTGTGTGAAGGGCAGGTTATAGTAGAGAAGGGTGAAAGCGAGTTGAGATTTTCGATAATCTCTGCAAACCATGAACATACCTGCGACGATATACTTCTCGTGAAATATCTCCTCGCATCTTCTCAATATTAGTCATTGCCGAATCATTGTCCACTGATATCGCGACACAGTAGTCCACCGTGGTCAACGATGCTGTTACCGGGTGGGAGCGGGAATGAACGAACCGAATACACAAATTTAGTGTGCGGTTTGAAAAAGAAAACCACTGCTCAAACTTGTGATGGATCATTAATCAGATGGTGTCGAGAAAAAGGTGACTTGTTACATTGACAAAGTGGTGGTTCCGCAGCACTATGAAGGTCACATCGATCCTGCAATGGCTAATTAGTTAAATCATTGATAAAATGGTATTTTTTTTGACAAAATTGGAAGGGTTAGACTTATTCGTCTGGTCGTTAAATCGATGGGGCCATAAACCAGACAGATACAATAGCTTAGAATAGGAGAAAGGGGTCCGGTTTCAAGCTCAATCATCGCCCTTTTGCTAGGGGTGGGGAAAGTTGGTTGGAATAAAAAACCTGCATTTAAGACGCCAAAGACAGATTCATGGGTCAGACAGAAAGGGTACTTTGAACGCTAGAATCAGACGAAGTAGTTGACATATGGCCTATGAAGCCTCAGTTTTGTTGACAAAAAGTGCACCATTTACGATATAATTCACAAGCGCCACGATGTTCTGTTGATGATCATATATCATAAGATCAGAGCTATCCGTGTGCCCACATGGTAGACCTCATCCATAATACACTGTAGAAAAGTAAAGGTGGCGACAACGCGGGGATTTGAAACCTACCAAGTTTAACGAACAAATATAACTAACTTTCTCTCCATTTGACGCCTTATAAACACACTGAGTAAGACATTGAGAACATATTCAATAGTTCATCAACTCTGGTCTAATGGAAAAGGTACGATTCTGGGAGAAACATTTGAGCGGAAAAGAGTAGAGCATTGTGCAGAATATTGAGTATTGTAACCTACTCCTCAGACAATCTAGAAGGGTGTTTTATTTACAGCTTGTAAAGGTTGGCTGCACTTTTTCACACCGAAAAAGTGTCGCTGCTGCCGCAAATCATTGATGATCCAAAGGAATCTTTGCTCGCATGAAATCTCGCATTGGTTCCTCCATGCAGGCGGAAGAATGGGAATCAAAGTCAAAATAGATTTCTTGGTGAAAACTACATCCGTAAAACAGGCTATTAAAATGAGCAAAATATAACTTGAAAACTCATTCACTTACCTGATTCGCGTGACAGACGAATTTCTAATCGTAGATTGTCTTCCTCGTTTGCTACACTGACACTCTGATTGTGAGTATCGATCACTTGTAGCTGATGTGTACCATGATGCGATATAGCAAGCTTCAAGGTGTGCATTCTGAAAATTCCATGAGGAAATAACGGAGTGAGATCGGGGAATCTAATTGATCATGAAACCATTTTCTTCGGTAATGCTACGAATAATCGTGATTGGTCAATCCATTCACAGCAATCACACAATACAAAAAATTGGAGGACGTACCGATTATCTTCACATGGGACTGTGGTGTTACAACGGAACGGTATGTTCAGTTGACCAACCGAACTGCAACCAGATTGATCCGTAGAAACGGTAATTTTTCCTGTGTATGATACGATCCTACGATTTTTCTGTAGAAATAATAAAAAGCATTTGATCTACAACTTAGAATGGAGCACGACTGGAGAAAATAAACACAAATGCAAGAAAATAAGACGTATGTGCAAGTAGTGTCTTCCAGTCAGTGCACTAAAACATTGCGCGGATTTCGTTGAACGCAAGTTATGCAGGGAACATGTATAGTGTGGTGAGCAAAAAGGAATTTGCCAGTTATATTTGAATCTGAAACCATGACATCCATACACACGCATACAAACACACATTATTTACGCTTATTCCATTTCCTTGAATTATGTGATTTTGTGACCCATAAAAAAGTGCTGTATTTGGCTAGTAAATGAGGCACCGAAAACCAGCTTGTTTGCCAAATTGACTTCTTGATGAAATCCACGGGTATTTTTCAGTATCTCAGAATCTGAGATTGTTCGTTTAGTAGGTTATCAGTTCAGTTCAGTCTGTACAACCATCACCATGCATTTTCGTGCGCTGGTTTTGGTGACTGTCTTGGTTGACCATTTGAATGAACCTAAGGAGAAAGACAGGAGAAGACAGGAAAGGTTAAAAGTAGGATCAAGGATTTCAGTGGACTAATGTTGGAAGAAATTGACAAGATGCACGAACGCCACTGTTTACGACACTCGGCCATATTATTCAGTGTCTCTAACCATCGGGTATGATCAGCCCGAGGTCGCCAGAGAGCCTATCGGGACCTACGTGACCCAGAAATCTGGTTGGGGTTTTCGTACCCCCATGCTTGATCTTAGTTTGATCACCCTTGACTTCCTTCCACCTCCTACCTGCCTCGGCGAACACCGCTCGTTGTGGCAACCTATCTGCTGATATACATAACACATGCCCCAACCAACGTAATCTATGGAGGTCGACCATTTGCTCCAGTGGGCGACCGTATTTACCTAATAGATTATCGAAAGAAATGAAATGTGAGGCTGTTTTCTACAATGTATCTCTGCTCTGCTAGAGTTTCATAATCATCCACATTTTTTTACTCCGTTGGATGCGTAATGGTCGGTTCAAAACACCCTGGTATCAGCAAATTTTCATCCACTAAACAATCTGCAGCTACAATTCATGGATGTGAACAAGCGATCAATGTAACGTTTGTTATCTCCGTGTTCTAGGAGTAGATGTTTTTCATTCCCAACCCAGAAAATTCCCCGTTTGAATCCATGCAGGAACACAAAAGTAGGACGCACTGCTGATGGGCCCCAAGGAGAACGGGACAAGGCTCCTTTCAAGCCACCAGACATTAAATCCGCAACAGTTAAACTGTCAGAATGTGAAGAGTCGACGATTTCCCATGGAGTGAGATACACACAATGTGTCACAATGCGCGACACCTGAGTTGCAGTAATTTGCATAAACCACACAAATAAAGTGTCTAAAATAGATTTAAGTTTGACAGTATTGCTGAGAAATTGGTTTGGTCAACACGGTATTAAAACTGCTGCTCACAATCCACCATTTGACGAAAGCGGACAGATATGATGACCTATATGAGGACAACTCGATGCTGTGAAACAACCATACAAATAAATGCAAGCTTCCGAGAAACAGCGTTAGCATTGAGAGAAAATGTTTTAGGTATTTTCAACGCTTCAGAATTCACTAGGCCGTGGGGGCCTGTTGGTAAAGGTCACCAAATTAACATCCCGGAGGACGTGTGTTCGGGTCCCACCACCACCGACAGACTGCCGCACTGCGATGTATGGCAGCCCTTTATTAGCCCCTTCCCTCATCCTGATAATTAATTGTATCATGGTATATTCGATAAAAAGGAAAGTAAAAACGAGAAAACATTGTGCCCCGTTACAGTCAAACATTGGGCAAGTGAAATGGGCAAACACTGCCCAAAATTTTGGATGACATTTACAAACAGAGAGAAAGAAAATGGGAGACATTAACGAATCTGAGTCATGAATGGCCTTGTCGGAAGATCTGTTTTTCCATCACTGGTCGAACGTAAATCCAACATCTTGGCTCATGTTACCACATGGTGATCACTGCGGGCTTCAGCAATGAAGGCAGTGCAGGACTGTTTGAATGTTTTGAAAGAACCCGGGTGACGATCCTGAGTTTTTAGTTGAACGAGACTGAGAAACGGTGATCGAAACATTAACTCAAGAATGGTCTTGTGATATGTGACACGTGGCCTGCGCATGTGCCCTGATAGAGTTCCTCAACACACACTAAATGCTCTTATAGGTGGTAGTTTCAAAAACTTTTAATTTAGTTCCTTCTAAGCCGTGAGTGAAAGTTACATATAAATTAATGGGTCAGGCAAATTAAATGCAGAAAATGACTGGAAACAAATGAGTTCTCACCTGCGCTATACACGCTTTTTCTTCAACGCGTTCTAAACCACACGAGAAGGAATGTGGATCGTGTAAATTCCATTGCAAACAAAACGTTTCCCCCAGATGCTGTGGCGTCACTGCGTTTCTGTGTGAAACATCCATCGGATGAATGTCGGCCATTACCATTTTACAGAAGACTTCGCTTTGGTACGAGGGACCTACGATAAACGTGCATTTTTCACGTTTCGCGATAACTGATGCAGAATCAAATAGTCCGGAATAGTGTGGACTATAGCACACACGGATCGCCTTCTCTGTACACTCGGTTAGCACTAATGGTAGAGACCAAAGAAATGGGAGGGGAAAAACAGTGAGAAGAGAAAGACCCGATGTCGTTAAGATAGTGAACAGTGATTCTCAAGTCGTAGGAATATACGCTCAACTCACACGTCCACCACATATCACGTGCTGATTGTATCGCCATTGACCTAACAATTACCGCCCCATCTCCCTCACCGTATCCTTCGCCAAGGTCGTATAACTGACGCACAATAAACGTTTTCATTATCACTTTTAATGTTGCGAACGTCTTAACGACCGCCAATATAGCTTCCACTGTCGAAGATCTACTAGTGACCTGTCGGTATACGAGTCACAAGTTTGGATTCGCCCTATGTCTTAGGACTTGGATACAAAGCTTCCTTTGCAACCGTTCAGTTTCCGTTAGTGATCATTTATAGGGAACTCTCAGTAAACTAAGGGGTTCCGCAAGGTCTCGAGCTACTTACAATCCTCCTGCTTCTCTTCATTGATTATCTTTAATATGAAACTCCTAAATCTATCCATACTTTTGCAACTGATACCATTCTTTATTATGCTCCCTCTCATAACACTTTCCAAGTTTTCTCAGCCACCATCACCAAAAATCGACTGTCTGTGTGTGTTTCAATCAATCTTCTGCAGTTCTATTTGACCTTCAACTTTACCCTTTCACATCTTTGTTCGCTCATATTGTATCACGTGCACCTACGAAGAGTCCCTACCTATTTCATGCGGAGCAATTTCTTGCCTATTCTGCCTTCTTTTTCACTGGCTGTTATAGTTATCAAAATGCCGTTGAGATCACCAATATTTCCGCGTATATCTCTGGAGAAATATCCGCCCAGATTCTTCATTTTTTAAAATGACGGCAGAATATAATAATAGTTTGAGGTGGACTGTACACAGATATCAGAATTACCCTTTTCGATACATTCGCACAAAGCAAGAAACAACAACAGCAGGATTGATATTAGTTATCAGTTTTTTTGACTGCTCTCAATCAGTTTTCTATACACATTAAATCGGTTTGAATGTTATAAGATTTTCATATATGGAGATTCACATACTCATGTTGGATCAATTAAAAACGGGACACTTATCAAAGAAGTTTGGAGTTGAGTGAATGAATAGGGGAGGCATGAGTAGAAGGAGAATATATAGAGTTACGTAATGAATACCCGTCAATTGCTAACAATATAAAACTGAAGATGGTTACGTAATATTCAATAGCGGAGCGGCGGATCTAACCTGTTTTATATGCTTTGACGCCTGATGGAGAGCACGTAAATACTGGTGGCCAATATCATTCCTGCTCATGCTGTGTTCCTTGTTTTATCCAAACGGACAAATCTGAATTCCAGTGTGAAACTGTTGTTGGAAGAAAACGTCTTTCTGAAGTACACAAATCAAATCAGGTATTCTCAAGATTGGTTGAGAAAACTTCTAAGTTATTACTTTAACAAAACTTTGACTTTGACATCAATAGTGAATAGTGAATACTCCCTACCAGGCAAAGGCTTTTCGAGATCGTAGACTGCCCATGTGTGGGCAGGGTGTATAGACATGAGGTTCGTTGCACTAACATTACGTGTGTTTGTATGTATGCTACATATTGGCCTACAAGCAGATGTGGATAACCGGGGCAAGTCGCCTCTCCGAACTGAACCGACCAGAATCGATAGTTCGTAAGCTGTTTGCCAATACCGTTTCATAAGGCTTGAGAAAACCGCAAGGGATGCAGTGGAAAGTAAGTAATAAGATAGAATGCAGACTGATGGGGACTATCGTGAACCGAATACTGAGTGTGGCGAGGTTAAACAACATACTGCGCATGCATTTAGTGACAGGAGGACATTATGGATAACGTAATAAGTTCTGAATCTACTATTCAAGAATGTATGTCAGGAAGGATAAATTCCAAAAAAACTCCGGTCGAAAAATTCGTATTTTTGGCGAAAATAGCCAAAAGAAAAAAGCCGCATCTGGGTGAGCCTCCGGCCCGAAATGATGGATCAGTGTACCCGACCACGAACGGTCCTACGTTTCTAATTGGTCAAAAAGCGTAGTCACCCGGGCGGTCCGATGGCTCTGATTGGTCAATT